AAACTGTTTCACCTCAGAAAATTTCTAAATTTCATACTTTTTCATCAGAAAATTCAATTGTAATGAAAATAAGTAGATTCTACTGAGTTGAAACTAGTTACCAAAATATTTTACTGGTGTTAGTATGGTGTAGAGAACTAGGCCCGTTTCAGTCTGAGCTGGGAGATTGTATCTTCTCCATTTCTTTAAGCTTGTTTTCTATTTCCACCACAAGATTCTCTATTTCCTGTTTTCTCTCCTTCAGCTTGATAATATTCTGATTTGTTATCTCTATCAGTTTCTCTGGAATAAATTCCACTTGTTTATTCAGTATTGTATTGCTCTCTATAATGATTTCTCTCAGTTTTAAGAACCCTTTTGCTCTCTTTTCCATCTTGTTCTCTTTATGGTTTTCTATTTCACTCTCAACATCCTTAATCTTCTTGTCATTCTCATCAAATATTTTCTCTGCCTCCAGTCTTTGAGCAGTCAGTCGTTCTTTTTGCTCCTTTCGTTCCTCGGACATCTTCATTAATGCTTCAATCTGTTCAGTAATGCTTCTCACATCCTGCTTTCTCCTTTTTAAGTCCTCCTCAAGGTCTGACATTTTCTTAGACATTAAGACTTTTTCTTTGTTCATGAGTTGCTGTTTCTCTTCATTCACCCCATCTTTTAGTTCCTTCATTGCTGCAGAAATTGGAAACAAAACAAATCAAGGTTTTGCTTAAGTTTAGCTTCAGATTAGCAACAATTAATTTTAAGGTAGTTTTAAACAAAAAAAACTTTTTTAATAAAAGTTTAAATATGGAGCCTCCTTGAATCATGAAAAAATGGTAACTCACATTTTTTAGTTGGTCTCCATGTCCAGATTAAAGAAGCAACTCCAAATAGAAGTATGAGTCCCAAAATCACACTAAAGCTGACAGAGACACTGCAGTTCGATGGAGGAACAAATAAACCGTCTGAAAAACAGATGAAGAGTTTTATGTAACAAATATGATTTGACTTGTTTAATGATGAAAGTCTGTTAAATGTTCTACCTTGAACATAAATGCGTTTCTCTCTGGTCTGGCTGATGTCTTTCTGTTGGACTCTGCATGTGATGTTGTTATTGTGTTTCTTCTCCACAGTCACTCTCCTGCTGATGCTGTAGAGACCATCAGGACCTTTGAGTTTCCCTGTAGGTCCAGCAGACATGATGTTTCCTTCCCCGTCTAGCCAGAATATTTCAGGTTCTGGATACCAGCCTGCAGCGCTGCAGTTTAATATCACTCCATTGTTCCTTTCATCAAGAGCTACTAAACCGATACTGGGTAAGGAGATGGAACCTGATGATCAGAGAATAAAGATGTCAGATTTTATCACCACTGCATCCAAAACGTTATGAAATGTTTGATAGAAACATTCCTACTGAATCATTCACTGATAACCGACATAGCTTGAACTATATCCTTGAAGCTTCAAATAAGAAAAATATCTCTGTTGTAAAACTCAGATGTAGTTTTAGTTTAACACTTTACAATAACCATCATTTATAAATGTTAAAGTGACAATTCATTAATGTTAGATAGTTTATCAATCTTGATAAACATTTCTAAACTTAGAAATAGATCATATTGCCCAGCCAAGTTGGTTTAGACCAAACCTCAGTGGACTTAAAACCTCAATACATGATGTACTTACCTTTAAAATTGGTCGTGAATGCAGTTTAAAAAACGAATAAAACATTCATAAAAATATCTGTTGATAATTAATAAGCTGTCCCTTTATAATTTATAAATGATGGTTATAGTGGTTATTGTAGCATTACCTTGTTTTTTATATACAAATTGACATACAGCATATTCTTCTACTCCTTCCATCGCATTTTATGTAAAAATTTAAGACAAATGTTTCTTATCAGACTGTCTCAAGGATTGAAGAAACATCATCATACCTGAATAGGTGAAAGTCCAAAACATTCTTTTGTGAAAGAAAACCTGAATTGCCTTGATTTGTCAGTTATTAAGGATTATGAGTAGGGCTGCAACTAACGATTATTTTAAAAATCGGCCGATTACTTTTTCGATTAATCGATGAATCGGACAAAAAATATTTTTTATATTAACCTCTTTATTCCAAAATAAACATTTTAGACAGAACAAACAAGCACACAAGTACAGGTTGCTCATTAACTGTCCTGGTGCAATATGAAAAATAAATGTTTGTGTTAAAACTACGCAAACGTACATGAGAAATGTAGCTGTACATCCACAAAATATAGGCTACTTTGTTTCATAAAGTGCAAAAAGAGACATTTTTTTTTAAAAGCCCCAAACAACTGAAACAAATGAAATTAAAAGTAAAATAAGTAGCCAACCTTATCACTGTCTGTAACCTAGTAACACGGTAAGGAAAGCATCAGATGAGCTACCTGAGAAACTAACGTTACGTTTCCCCACTTTAAAACCAAACAAACATGGTGGTTCCGCGCCATGTTAATTTGTTTTGACAAAAGTAGCATGTTACGACTTTTTTCACTGTACAAAGCGCAGGCTATTTTAATTATTGTGATCAATTTGCACCGTCAATCCCTGCGCATGCGCGCTTCATTTGCAGTCTGGACGCTGAGGGTAAACATCCCGCTGCTCTGACTGCAGCGCTGAGAGGGTATCCTTCGGGAGCGGGGGGAGGCGCCCCACGGCAGAGTAGGAACGATACATGCTTTCCCGTAAGAGTCTCCAGAAGCCGCCAGTGACACCGTAAAAAGTCGCCAGATTTGTGGCTAGTCACTTTTTAAAAAAATAGTCGCTGGAGGGGTCTGAAAAGTTGCTGAGTTGGCAACACTGCACCTGCAGCGCTGGCTCGCTCTGCCGTATTTTTTCTTCTTCTTCCCCCGCTTCAGTCAAGTGGATGTGATGACGGCGGCGGCGGATGACGCATTAATCGCGCGACACAACTAATCGATGATGAAATTCGTTGCCAACCCTTTTAAAAGTCGATTTTTATCGATTTTATCGATTCGTTGTTGCAGCCCTAATTATGAGTTAAAGTTTTTGTTACGGACAATAAAAAATGTAAGTACACAGTAATAACTAAAACCAGTACTTCATTGTGGAGATTTAGATGAGACTTAATTTATGAAAAGAAAATCTAGAGACTTGGGGTGAGCGATCATGAATCATTTTATCTTATCTCCAAGGATCCAAGGACACATCCACGGAGGCAGCTGAAGTATCACTAATTGCTTTTCAATCAGTCATTATTTATAGTTGTGCTGCTTTTTCGTACCTTTCTTTTTTATTGATGATATGCCATGACACTGTTGGCTCCAAATTCTCAAGAGTTTAATAACACTAAGACTCCAGCCTTCTCTATTATTTTTTTTATAATGAAGATTTATTGGACACTTCCAGTGGAAGTTACACACTTTACTTACATAAACACTTCACTGCTGTGTGCCGTCTACATTCTGATTCTGCACATGAGAGTCACTTTGATGTCCAAAACCATTCAAACTGAAAAGTGAATGTCCATGCAGAAAAAAAAAGGGATTCTGGCAAATAATGAGAACTGAGCATCTTGATCTGCAGTGTGACCATTTGATTAATGTCTAATGTCTTTGCAACAATGTTTAATCCCAGAACCATGAATCAAGTGGCTGAATTACCTAATTAGATGCCATTGTTTCATGTTTTTTGAGGCATCTAAAAGGTGCAGGACACCGCAGGTATATGACTGGATTGAAGACCCCTAACTTCGGGGACCATGCTTGAAAACCAGCCTCCTGGTTGTGTGTAAAGGAGTCCAAATTAATAATTTAAGTAAAAATGTTCCATTCATTTTGTTCAAATCTTTTTATAGGCAGAAACGGTGCAGATGCCCATTCAGACCAGCAGAAGGCAGAAATAATATGGAATTTACTAAACCACATTTTAAAAGTAAGTAAGGTTCCTGCTGTCAGTTTATCACAGGGCAACAAGAACCAACCATGCTCAGATAGAGCAATACTGAATCCAAACAAAAGTGTAGTACATTCACTTAGCAGTTTAGGTTTTAGGTTGTGGGAAGAAGATAAAGCACCTGGAAAGATCCTTGAATATACTGTATAATTTATCTCTCTAATTTATTTCATTACTTCACTATGTGCAATGACATGGTCATGTGTAATAACTGTAAGTTGCTACTGAGCAGCATCGCAAAGTGTAAATGCTGTCGATTTTAAATAATTTGATCATTATCTTATTTTATTTCATCCTTGTCTTATTAAATTCTTATACCTTATTTTACACTATTTATATGGGAAGGGGGTAATTTTACTAATTTTTTAAATTTTATTTTGTCCTATTATACTATAATCTATTTTTCACTATTGTACTCACAATCTTATTTTTCTCTCTTCTGTAAACGGCTGCACTGCAAGAAAGGAATTTCCCTGCAAGGGATTAATAAAGTACTTCTGATTCTGATACCAAAGCTGTCCAGAAAGAGCCCATACTGGAATTTTAAGCCACGCCTGTCTTGCAGCAAGGCAACAATGGAAAAAACCCTTTACACTTCATCCATTTTATTTTTGTAAATAAATATATTTTTAGCTTTCAATAAGATAATAAGGAACAAATTGAATGTGTGTCTCTAATTTGAAGTCCAGCACTCAACAGTGTTTACCACATCCATATGCAAAACATTGGGATCAGACTGTATTTTGTTTACTTACCAACAAGAAGATCAACAAAGTATTCTTCAATCTTCTTTGCATCGTAGCATCTAAATCTTCCATTGTCAGAATGTTTTACACCCTTCAGTCTCAGTGAAGCATCTCCATCTTTCAGTCTGTCAGTGAACAGTGATGTTCTTTCTTTATATTCAATGTTTTGGTCATCATTATATTCACTGCCTTCAAACCACAAATGCACAAATCTAGGATTCAAGTCAAGTCTCCCCCATTCCACTTCCAACTCATCAGCCTTCAGAGGAACTTCCAGGTGACATGGCAACACAACATCATCACCAACATTGGCTGTAACCAGCTGAGTCAGAGTGGTCTCTGTGGACTGACCTGAAAAACAAAATAGACAGCTTTGTTCTCTAAATAAATGTAATTTCTGTGTATGAATTTGATCTCAGTCAGCTATTTTTGTGATGTAGGCATTTTTTTTCTTTGTCATAAATTAATTCAGCTCTTCATTTACAGAAAATGTCGGTAGTGTTTGTATGTGTTTTTGTTGGTTATTTTGTTTTCACTCCAACCAACCTGCCCTGGGCTGACCACCTATAGCTAACAATCCTGAAGAAGGTGCAGCAGAGACTGCACTTCCTGAGGATTCTAAGGAAAAAAAATATGAGACCAGAGCTACTGCTGTGCTTCTACCTCTACTCTGAGCTGCAGCTTGGTGCTGAGCTGCAGCATCTTGTTGTAGTTATCTAGCTGCACTGCAGCAGAGAGGAAGCAGCTCGAAGGATTCATTAACACTGCCCAGAGACTGAACTGCTGCCTAAGAAGATCCCACAGCATAATAAGGGACTCCTTGCACCCAGGTCACCATTGTTTACAACTGCTCTCTTTCGTCAGGCTTTTCAAGGCGATGAAGACAAAGACAAACAGACTGAAAAACACTTTCGTTATGAAAGCTGTTGTTGCCCCGAACGCCTCACATAGATTATAACTGGGTGATTCTTTAACTACGGGCACTTTTATGTCCTTTGATCATATTTCATGAAAAAATTTTAAAAAAAGGGACATTTCACACCTTTATAGTTTTCTTTACAATCAAACTGTTTTAGGACATTTGTTTTAATAGTCTGTGATGACTTTTTCACCTTTTTTCAGCCTCATTTATATGTAAATATTACTGTTTTGTGCTTGTCCCACACCCAGACTTTTGATCTTCAATGATAAAAATGAATAGTAAAGAAAAAAAAATTCTAATGTTTTAAAATATTATTAAATAAAATATCAGTAAAATAATCAAACTATAATTGGAGTATTCATTGTCATACAACTGTTTTTTTTTTTTTACAATTGGTTTTATAAACCAATTGTAGTTCTCCCAAAATGTTGTCGTAATTTCCACCACAACACTGTAATGTCCCTTTAAAAAGTTTGTATGAAAGATTGTTTGGGTAGTTGCTATGGAGATGAACAGTGACATCACAGCACAAGTCATCCATTAACCTTTGAAGTAAAGCCAAGTTTAATATTGCTTGAAATGAAAATATTTTTATTGTATGTAACTTCCGAACATGCCGTAACATCAACTCTGTGGCAGAGCTCTTTTTTTTATGTTGTTGTTTCTCCATGTTTGCACAGTTCGCTAGGTTGAGCCAGTGGATGAGTAGAAGGTGTGTTACAGGAAGTTACTGCCATAAGTCAGGCATGAGTATGGTTTGGATTTCATCTGCATCCATCCGCTCCTTTCCATCCCTTTGAGTGGCAATATGAGTAAGGGTTTATGGTTGCTAGATACTATATATCTGATTATTTTTGTAAATTTGAGACGTTTGATATGTTGTTTGCTTTAATACGCTGGAGTTAGATTAGAGTGGATGTTATGCTACAGCTAAGTTTAAGTTACCATTTAAATGCATGTTTTACACAAAGGAAACGTTTATTTTATTCGTTCTGAAGTTTTGTTTGTGTAGTAATATTTTTATGTATTCTGTATCGTTTCAGATTCACACTTTTTGCATTAAATCCTGTTCAAATAAAACACACACCTGTTCCTTGGAGGAAGTGATGCAGGAAAGAGTTTAGCTGGCTTTGAATCTCAATAGAGGACACAGGGTCACATTGGGTGCAACAGTACAAACTCAGTTTGGAAATTAATTGTTATTTTAACACACATACATGTGTTTTGTAAGCATACAATTGTAGAGACCCTTTCTAAGCTAGTATGTGATGCTAGCATAGATTTTCCCGCCAATTTCTGTCAGATTGTAATTGTGAAGGCGTAATTCTTAGATACACATACAAGGCCCTTGTTCTCACATTTTATTTATCTCATTTTATTATTAAAACAATGTGGTAATATTATAAAATTACCATTTTTTAGACAACTTTTGACATGTTTCTAACTATACTTTACATGCTAAGCATTTTGCGGTGGTGCCAACCCCTCTCTCCCATCCTTAGTACCACCTATGCAAAAACTGAAATTAATTTATTATTATTTAATAATGTATTTATTTATCATTATTATTTATTATTATGCTCCAAGTTTTTAAAAAGAACATTTTTGTATGGTCCAGTCATTGTAATTTCCACAACAACCAGTAATTTCCACCACGCAGTGTAATTTCCAACACACCATTTGTTTTTAAATTAATTGTTGCAAAATTCTAATCACTCATTAAAACCTTCTTCATAATTTAAAAGATAATATTCCACTTTAATTAAAAACTATATCTCAGGTTATGGCGAACAAAAGATTTGCGTCTTGTCCTCGTCACAATTAATTTACCTAATCCATAAATGTATGTGTTTAACAATAAAGGCATAAACACTTAAAACTATATATGAAATTGCTCTTCCAGTGAAAAAACATGATGTGTATCATAGTATTTTTGAATAACAGTATTTCCTCACAACCCTGTCCTCTCTGACCACTTTCTAATAACCTTCAGGATTACTTTAACAGAGTTCTCCTCCCCCAAAAGAAGGTTCAATTTTAGTAGATCTTTATCAGATAGTGCAGTTATAAATTTTAAAGAATCTGCTTCACTGTCTCTCTCCTCTGTGTCGCTGAGCAGTGCTGCAGAGTGCAAAAGCATAGCTTATTCCCCTTCACAGGTTGATGATTTTGTTGATGGGGTTGCTAGTTCTCTGCGTATTGCCTTAGAAAACGCAGCTCCTTTGAAAATGAAAACCGTTAAAAATAGAAAGCTTGCTCCTTGGTTTAATGCAGAGCTGCGTACTTTGAAGCAAAATGCTAGGAAACTGGAGAGAAATTATCGCTCCACAGGCCTGCGGGAGTCATTCCTAGTCTGGAAAAAAGGTTTACTGCTGTATAAGAGGACCCTTTGTAAAGCAAGAGCAGCATACTTCTCCTCATTAATAGAGGAGAATAAGAATAATCCTAGATTTCTTTTTAATACAGTTGCCAAACTCACCCAGAGCCATAGCTCTGTTGAACTGTCCATTCCACCTGCTCTTAGCAGCAATGATTTTATGGGATTCTTTATAAGATTGATCTTATTAAAAATAAGATCATAAGCACTACTCTATCCGCGATTGTACCTGAGGTAGTCATGGAATCTGAACCAGGTTTTGACTGCTTTGATCCAGTTGAACTTTCTGAGTTTGCAAAATTATTGTCTTCATCTAAGCCTTCAACTTGTATGTTAGATCCAGTTCCAACCAGGTTATTTAAGGAGGTATTCCGTTTGATCTCCTCCTCCATTTTAGATGTGATTAATCTATCTCTGTTACAGGGATATGTACCTAAAGCTTTTAAGGTTGCTGTAATTAAACCTCTGCTTAAGAAACCGTCTCTTGACCCAGATGACTTGGTCAATTATAGACCTATATCCAATCTTCCTTTCTTATCCAAAATTCTTGAGAAAGTAGTTGCCAAACAAGTTTGCGATCACTTACACCATAATGAACTTTTTGAAGAGTTTCAGTCTGGCTTTAGAGCTCATCATAGCACTGAAACAGCTCTGGTGAAAGTCACTAATGATATTCTCATGGCCTCAGATAATGGACTTGTATCTGTGCTCGTCCTGTTGGATCTTAGTGCTGCATTTGATACAGTTCACCATAATATTCTTTTAGAAAGACTTTAATATTTTGTTGGAATTAAAGGAACAGCACTAGACTGGTTTAAATCTTATCTATCTGATCGAATTCAGTTTGTTCATGTTAATGACAAATCTTCCTCATGCTCAAAGGTTACCTGTGGAGTACCACAGGGATCAGTGCTAGGGCCAATTCTCTTTACTTTATACATGCTCCCAATTGGTAGAGTTATTAGACAGCATGGGATTAATTTCCACTGTTATGCTGATGATACCCAGCTATATCTGTCTATAAATACAGATGAAGCTAACCCATTACATAGATTACAGGCATGTCTTGAAGACATAAAAACCTGGATGACTCTTAACTTTCTGCTTCTGAATGCAGACAAAACAGAAGTTATAGTCTTTGGACCAGAGTCTCTGAAAAAGAAGCTGATTAGCCAGTCACTTCATTTGGATGGGATTAAACTGATTTCAGATAATAAAGTAAAAAATCTTGGTGTTATTTTTGATCAGGACCTGTCATTTAAATCCCATATCAAAGAGGTTTCTAGAATTTCCTTCTTTCATCTGAGGAACATTGCAAAAATTAGAAATATCCTGTCCAGGGGTGATGCTGAGAAACTAGTCCATGCATTTGTTACTTCAAGGCTGGACTATTGTAATTCTTTACTATCAGGAAGTCCACAAACTGTAGTTAAAAGCCTTCAGCTGATCCAAAATGCTGCAGCCAGAGTTCTAATGAAAATTAAAAAGAGAGATCATATCTCTCCTATCCTGGCTTCTCTTCATTGGCTTCCTGTTAAATCAAGAATAGAATTTAAAATCCTCCTTCTCACATATAAAGCCTTAAATGTCCAAGCTCCATCTTATATCAGAGATCTGATTGTTCCTTATGTTCCTAACAGAGCACTTCGCTCTCAATCTGCAGGTTTACTAGTGGTTCCTAGAATTTCTAAAAGTAGAATGGGAGGCAGATCTTTTAGTTATCAGGCTCCTCTCCTGTGGAACCAACTACCAGTTTTAGTCCGTGAGGCAGACACCCTGTCTACTTTTAAGGCTAGACTTAAAACTTTCCTTTTTGAAAACGCTTATAGTTAGGGTGGCTCAGGTTATCCTGAGCTATCTCTATAGTTATGCTGCTATAGGCTTAGACTGCTGGAGGACATAGGGACCCCCATTTCATCATTCTGCTTCATTCTCTCTCTGTTCTCCTATTCTGCAGAATCTGTTAGTTCAATCTCTAACCTTCTGCTCTCTCTGCTTTTCCTCAGAGTAGCTTTGCCTCGTCTGTTCCTGTTTGGCTGTGACTCCATCCTGGAAAGAAACATCAGCTGTGCTGCTTCCATCAACACCCTTGTTTATAGACGTTGGAGATCGGCCTGTTTTCCAGTGTGGTCCTGTTTCTCTGACCGTAACTGAGTGGATGTGCTCTCTTCGTCCTCTGGCATGGGATCTGCCTTGGAGCTTGTCTGCCTGGCTGTGTGTTTCCTGGACGAGGCCGCCTTTTACAGCTGCTTTTTGTATCTCTGCTTCTGTCTCCTTGAATCCCAGTCGGCCTCGGCAGATGGCCGCTCACACTGAGCCTGGTTCTGCTGGAGGTTTCTTCCTGTTAAAAGGGAGTTTTTCCTCTCCTCGTCGCTACAAGCATGCTTAGTGTGAGGGATTGTATTTGAGTCAATGCAATCAACTGGTTTTCCTTAGATAGAAAACTTTGTATCAATTTGACTGTATGATCTGGTTGAACTGTAAAGTGACTTGAGATGACATGTGTTGTGAATTTGGCGCTATATAAATAAACTGAATTGAATTGAATAAATGAAAAATATTTATATGTGATGGAAATTACATTTATGCCAGCCGAGTAGGGAAATCTGTTAAAAAACACCAATTTGTCTTAAAAAATCTGTGTATTCTCAAGTTAATCTTCAAACTAGACTAGTTATGCTAACCGATTAAATTGTAAGAATTTATTTTTTATTACACTTTTTCTCTTCAAGTTTGCAAGGCCAATAGTGCCAGTAGTTAAAGAATCACCCAACTGCCAACAATCACATGAACAGTTATGCAATTTCTACAATACTTAATAAATGCAAAATTCTCACATGTAATACCGCAATTTTCTTGTATATATATTTTTTTCTTCTTTAACCTCACAGTCCTTCTCTAACTTTTTAAAATAATATTTATTTACTTTATTTTGCATTATTTGCATGAGTTGTTTTGTTTTAAATTGTTTCTAGCTGCTAAAAATTCTGTTGTACCCTTGAGGAACATGACAAATAAAGACTACTGATTCTCTTCTTATTCTCATTTTGTTGCTAACAGTAAATGATCAAGCATTTATTTCAGCAGCGAGAGATTTTTTGGTTAGAAATTACCTGAACAGATGCATATCAGTAGAAGAAAGTCAAACTTAAGTTCAGCAACCAGAACCTCTTTAAACAAAGGCTTCAAAGATATATTTTGAGGCAAGTGAACCATCTTGATGACAGAAAAGCTGCAGAAGAGAAAAAAGGCATTTAAGTGTTTGAAACATTTATAAAGTGCTTTCAGTTCTTTCGGTTGCAAACCTTTCTGATTTCTGATATTTCAGAAACCACATGTGTTAAGGACTAGTAATATTAGCACTACTAATCATCAACTGTATCAACAAATAAGTTCAGCAACTGACTTTCCGTGATCTGTAACATCAGATTGTTTACAATGATTGCAGATTTATATTAGGCATTTTGAAATACATCAATGGATATAAACTGTAACAGTTGAAAATAAAAGGAAAGAGTTACATCGGCGAAAATAAACCTACCTGTTCAGCTGTGTCATGTCCTCTTTGTTCTTTATAAACTGCAAAGGGCAAAGTCTCAGATGAAAGGATTGTAAAGTTTGAGGTGTGGTTCACAGCGACCTCACTAGTCCAACCAGGAAGTGAACCTACTGTGCTGAAATGTCAGTGAACTCGATATTAAAGTGGCTGCTAAAAGACTGAGAGAATCAAAGAGCTTTACACTATATACATTCAAAACCTGATGTTATGTAACAACATCAGAGTGTGAAATAATAAATGACCACCAACAGCAGACAAGACAGGTGAAGTTTCTTGCCCAAGGACACTGGTGTTTTTAAGTGAAAAAAAAAAACACCAGATTTAGTACAAAGTCCAACACTTCCTGAGCCACTGTGGCCCTGAGGGCACTGTGTTCATCAAGCAAAGCAGAGAAAGCCAGCATTGACATATGGAGGGACTGAAGAGTTTCTAATTATGTCATGATTTGTAAGTCTGTCAGTAAGTTATATAACAGGTACCGGACTGGGTTAGCTTGTGTCACAACAGGATTCTGGCAGTTATTTCTAGAAATATAAAGTCAACCTTCAGCTTGACCAACCTCAGAAATAATCCAGACAGGAAAATGACATCCTAACCAAGATTTAACCTAGATGTAAGTGTGTCACAGTGGAAACTGCCCTCTCTCTGAAGGCTTAGCAGAGGGTGGTGAAAACTGGCCAGCACATTGCTGGCGCACCACTACCTGCCATAAAGGATACGTACGGGAAGTGGTGTCTGAAAAAGGCAGAAAAAAAAATCACTGAATACTCCACTCACCTTGCACACACACTTTTCTCACTTCTGTCCTCTGGGAGGTGTTTCAGAAGCCTACGGGCTAGAATCACCAGGCACCGGACAAGCTTCTTCCACACAGCTTTTATACTCCTAAGCTCCTCCTGACAGCAACTATAAGAACCCCCCCACCCCCCAAAAAACACACATACAACATACATCCATGGACTCAAACTTCTCAACCACAGCTGAATATAATCCAGTGGCAGCTGGCTGACAGAGGCTGTTAGGGTGCTGCCCCACCCACCCAATGATCTTTATTAAGACATAAAAAAGAAATAAAAATGTAATTATAGAATAAAAATATTTCGAAATATATTAATATTTTTTTAGATGGGCAAGATAAATATTTAATCTTTAATGATGAGTAAAACTTTCTCATTTATATCCGGATTGGTGACGTATTTCTTCCCTGGGGCGGAAAAATCTTTTGCCATTGACTCTCCCTAAAAGTTGTACATGTGCAGTAGCTCCTCTGCATTGCAAAAGGACAGGAGAGCTGCGCCCCAAGCTGACATGAACTGTTGTCACAGTCGACAGTTGACAGGCTGAGTCGTGGAAGTGAAGTCCCTTAAACACTCTACACTGACAACTTTTAAAATTTGATGCTACTTGCAATAATGGGAAAACACTACCATATTTTCACGCCCATAAGGCGCACCGTACTAAAAGGCGCAGTCTCAATTATGTCTATCATTTCTGTATTTAACACACACATAAGGCGCACTAGACTATAGGGCGCGTTTTTTTATACAGGTACATGTCCTCTACTACATTTAAATACTTCTACTGCGTATTTAAAAATAGAGCGGGAGCAAAACTGAGTATGATTGTGCTTTATTCATGTATTTATTACAAAGTATTAATCAAACCTGTGTTGGGATCTGGAGACTCTCCAACTTCTTCAGCAGAGTGTGCTGTGGATTCTCCTGGGCTGGAGCCCTCCAGCACAGCTGACGTTCATCAGCCCATCAGGAGACCTGCCTTTATAAGCAGCTGCCAGACCTTCCTTCAACACCGCAGTGTTTACCAAGTTTGGTTAGCGAACCTGAGCCTCTGAACTACTAGAATCTTTGTCTCCAAAGAGAAACTCTATTCTAATCCGTCTCTGTCTTCTCGCTCCTAGGAAACCTGTCTCTCGTGAGAAGCACTGGATGAGCTTAGCCTGTTACCTGCCTGCCTGCCTTAGAGAGCCAAACCTGAAGATTTCACTCTGGAATCCACCTGCTGCTCTTAGGGAAAGAGCTAATCACTCCAACCAAGGTCTATCACTGAAAAGTCAGAAGCTAGACGCTGCTGCTTCTGAGCACTCTGCTGAACCAACAGTCTCTGGACCCAACCGGTTCCCTCTCTCTGAACTAAGCCTGGACCTCTTCAAGGTATTCACAGAAACATCTGAAACTCAGCTATTCATCTGTTAACCTGGCTAACCAAACTATCCGTCTCTGCAGACGTCTGTGAAATCCTGTCCGGACCAGAACCAGAATCCAGTACATGTTTTTATTGTGAAATCTTTAAATAAACTCTGTTAATCTTTTACCCAGTCTCAGTGGTGTTCTGCAAGTGGGTTTATTACCAAAACCAATCATGACAACCTGGGAGCTGGCCATGAGACAGACACATCGCTCTGATGACACAGAGCGCTGTGATCACTCCTCTGAAACAGTTTTTTGACGCATAAATTAACTTAAAATGCAGAAATCTGCCAGCAGAATATGTTCGCTTTTATTATCCTGGTGCCTGCCTTCTCGCGGCTGCTGTTGAAGGGATTCCTGCTGTCGGCGCACCACTGGTATGTGGGGGTCTGAGCGCCTCCGACAGAAATAGTATTAGAAGGCAGGATAATAATCTGGATGAACTGACTGCAATGATTAAGTTTTCAGGTGGATTTTCTCACTTAAAAACATATTATAACTACTTTATTCCCACTGATCACAGCAAATATAGCTGCAAGGTGTATCTAATACAAAGTATTAATCAAACCTGGGAGCTGGCCGTGAGACACACATCGCTCTGATGACACAGAGCGCTGTGATCACTCCTCTGAAACAGTTTATTGACGCATAAATTATCTTAAACTGCAGAAACCTGCTGACAGAATATGTTCGCTTTTATTATCCTGCTGCCTGCAGTTTAGATTGTACCAGTTAGTTCTGACGCGCGGCTGAAGCAGCTTTGCTGCTCTGCCTGCGTGGTGCAAAAGTGTGTCTGATGCGCGTTGGGCGGAGCTATCCTATCCTTTCTTTGCCTTGCAGCTATATTTGCTGTGATCAGGTTAAGTTATTTTACACTGCATGAAAAGTGGGATTTTCGTCAATATGCGGCACTGTAGATTGTCGTGGAACTTCAGGTTAGCGGCATTTCACGGCAATTTGCAGGCTTCGCCGAAAACTCCCGTAAATTGTCAGAAATTGACGTGGACTTTCTTAGGCAGTGTTCCCCCCATGCCTCCCCCCCATGGAATTCTAGGGGAGGCTTTAACATGTAAATGAACATGCTGTGAGCTATACAAATGCAAATCAGGGTTGCAGGGGGGGCTTTACTCCAAGTGACATTTTTCTAAAAGGTAAGAAAATCTCTGATACAAAGAGATCAGGCTCAGTATAGCCTCTTACATTTTAGCTTGAATTGATTTATTTAATTAAAGTGTAGAGACCAAAACAGATCTTTAGCTGACAGAGCAATACATTTAGAGCAGTAATTATAAAAAAAAAAAAATGCATTTAAGATAAAAAATAAAATGTTGTCTGTCAATATGCTCAATTCACAATTACTTAAGTGGAAAAGTTTCAAGAAATGAGTCTGAGATGATTCACTTTATAACATGGCGCATTATCCTGTTGGAAGTAGCCATGAGAAGATTGGTATACTGTGGTCATAAGGTCCGGCCAGGTCAAGATCCGCAATTGCAATCGCACCAAACAGGAAAAAGAACATCGACAAATTCCGGTTCGTCAAATTAAAATATAGCAGCAACAGATTGGTGACTAGAAATTATAGCACAATTCTTATATATACAAAAAAAATCTAACACCGTTTATTTAAATGATTGGATCCAAACTATTGGTTATTCACCACCGAGGAAGCAGATTTCTCATCTCCATCAAAATATTTATTTTATACCGAGGGACTTAAACTTTAATCAAAGTTTTGAATTATCCTTATCCCCGTTACAAAAATCTACAAATATATATATATATATATATATATATATATATATATATATATATATATATATATATATATATATATTTGGGCAGAAACTGAACATATGCTGGATGATGGTGGGATTTTTTTAATATGTCATATTAAATTAAGCGCTCACAGGGTTCATACAGGAATGAGTGACTCTAATTTAATGCTATTTTAATGCTATTAGAAATGATTTTAATGCCATCAACAAGAACCATGTACACAAGTTATTAGCGTACATGAAATATGAAGGAGCTGTAAGCAGAGTTCCATGACTCCTGTACAGTGGGGACTGGTTGGAAATGGACGGTTTCCTGCGTGATTCCTGTGTGATTCCCACGTGAATCACGTTGTATTTCCTGAGGCCAGTTTTTTTATTTCAAAAAGAACTGCAATGTACCCAGACAACCACCAGGTGGCGCTTGGGACCTCTGCCGTGCTGAGGGTGACGTTTGTGGGCCTGCAGTCAACTGAAAAGCAGGTTTATTGGGGATCTTGTTGTGATACTGTGCTATTTTATTTTGTTTTTGATTAAAATAAAGTTAATTAATTAATTTAACATAAGACTATGCAGTCAAGTGACTGCATAATCTTATTTTATGAAAATGGTTGCGTAGTTATAGATACACCTCCGATCTTATCTGAGAACTGTTATTTCTATTTATCTGCATCGCTATTATTTAATGAAAAATAAAATTAATTAAGTTGGAGCCGGGGATACGGACTGTAGCGCAACCAGAGAAAGGCGACAGAGACAGTGCTGCGGCTGGTGATGTTGAAATTAAAATCATATCCAAAGTTGATTCCTCATTAAGATAAGCCAAAGTTATTCAAAAGGGTATGTAAGAAAATATATTTTCTTTAGTTTTGTAAAATATAAGTGCCGTTGAAAGCTTTGTTTTTGTGTGTTACTTTCTTGCCGTGCAATACGTGACACCCCTCCCAGTCTGGTCAAGTAGCAGACTGGGAGGGCTGTCACATGTTGCGAACTTATAGTGCAGTGGTTAAGCTGAGT